CAGAAGAGAGCTTCATGAAATGAATGGGTAGTCATTCATAGTAAATGCTGTAAATGCTGTAGACAAGTTAACCGGGATGACAACTGAGGGCAAAATGTATGTGTGTGTGTATATGTGTGTTGGAGGGCTGGGCGGGGGGAGAAAGTTTGCTTCTCATGTATCTGTTTTTTTTTGTTTGTTTGTTTTTTGTCTTTTTTTTAAAAATTGGAATGATTGAAGGTTCACATGCAGACATGAAGTTCAACTATTTCCTTGGGTAGATTCCTAAAAGTGGAATGACTTGATCAAAGAGTTTGAGCATAGGCTTTTGATTCACGTTGTTAGGTAGCTTTCCTGGTTTTCATGGTTTTTTGTTTTGTTTTGTTTTGTTTTTGAGATAGGTTCTCCCTATGTTATCCACGTTGTTTTTTGAACTCCTGGGCTCAAGTAATTCTCCCACCTCAGCCTCCCTAGTTTCTGAGATTACAGGCATGAGCCACTGTGCCTGGCACCAGTGCTCATTTTTTTTTAATATGCAATAATGAGTAGTTTGTAATTTTGTACACATCTGGGTGTGCAGAGACAAGGTGAGGAAATCTGCATCTAAGCAGAATACAGAATTGGGCTTCTGTAGTTGTGGGTCTTTTCCTAATGGACACAGTCCAGCCCTCATCTCCTCCCCACTTTCTGTTTCCACACTCTACATCTGTCATCCAGAGCACAAGTGGAACAGGGACCATTACTCATTAGCTGCATGGGGATTTGAATAACCTCACAGTGGAGTGGTGGCAGGTAACTACAGCTAAATGTGTGACTAAGATAGAGCTAACTCTAGTCATTGAATAGACTGTGAAGTCTGGAGGGAAGTTCTCTGAATTTAAGATTATAGTTTTGAAGTTTGGCACCTGCTACTACTTCAAGGATTAAGGATTTACTGCTCACTGGAATTCAATATTTAATATTCTAAAAACCATTCAGTTCCAACTTGCAAATGAGTTAAATTAAAATAATACACAGACGTTCTCTCTGAGGCCGTGGTTTTTATTGGTAGCAACACTCATTAAGAAATGTTACTGGCTGGGCATGGTGGCTCATGCCTGTAATCCCAGCACTTTGTGAGGCCGAGGCAGGCAGATCATCTGAGGTCGGGAGTTTGAGACCAGCCTGACCAACATGGAGAAACCCTGTCTCTACTAAAAATACAAAATTAGCCAGGCATGGTGGCACATGCGTGTAATCCCAGCTACTCAGGAGGCTGAGGCAGGAGAATCGCTTGAACCCGAGGCGGAGGTTGCGGTGAGCCGAGATCACGCCATTGCACTGCAGCCTAGCAACAGAATGAGACTCTGTCTCAAAAAAAAAAAAAAGAAAAAAAAAAAGAAAAGAAAAAGGAAATTTTACTTAAGCCATACCTTCATGAGAGGTTCTAAATAAGCACACAGACAGTCTATTTCAGACCTCATTTCCTACAAATACTGTATATAGAGGCAATTTTGTGTTTCTTTTGTCATTAAGATAAGACATTTGATTTACCTCCTTATCTTCCATTTAAATTTAGTTCACAAGATGGACCTGTTTTCAGGTACCATAAACACCCAGTTCTACTGGGTTTTCTTTGACCGCTGGGGAAACTGTGGACTGTATCTGATGCACACATTTTATTGCATCTCCCCTGGCATGAGATTCATATACATTGGCATCTTCTCAGAGTGAAGTTGACTCTCTCTATTTCCCTCTTCCAGAATTTCACTTGGCATATGGTGATTCCAAAACAGTTTGAGGCTCATTTTGATTGGTTTTTGGCAATCTCAGCTCAGTCAGTTTTACTCTGAGAGATCCCCTGTTTGTTCCTTCATGAATGGCCACAGAAGCTTTTGCTCTTGGCTCTGCGTTCTAATAGCATCTCCTGCATGATCTGTGGCAAAGCAATGCTTTGAAATATGCGTCCATACTATGTGGCTTTTCTTGCTGCAGTTTCTGTTCTTTTTTATTATAGGATTGGGAGACTCACCACTAGAAGATGATGAAGTCGGTATTCACACCCTAGATATAAAGGTGAATGCTTTGCTTGTGTGCTAATGAGGACCTGCTGATGCCAGGAGAACTTTCCTTTTTGCCCTGCAGAACAGATTGTAATAAAGTGACCAGACAACACATTTAAGTTCTAATTATCTATCAAGGAAAAAGTATTTTTTTAAAAAATATATATATATACTCCCTTTTTTAAAAAAGGAAATAAAACAAAATGCGTTGGAAATCTCTGAAATGCTGTCTTTCAGCATCCCAATGGTCATTTTATTCTCATAAGTTTCTTTACTGTCCTCACTTATGCAAAGGCAGCTGTAGCTGATGAAAGTGAAAATCAAGCCATGAGTTCTGCCTAATTCACACATTACAGCCAGAATCATCCAGAGTAAACCCCCCAAGGTCAAATCTGGACCAAGTGCTGATAATGTACTAAGATGAATGGGGAATGAGAAAACTTGATTTTCATAAGCTCATTTCATCGTGCTCTTTCTGAGCCCAGCATGGCTCCTGAAACGGTATGTTAAAGTATGTTGCTCAAATGAAACTTAACTTAATGATAAAGAACTCCATCTCTACATATTCGCAGCAATCCACCCCCCAGCAGGTATAAAAAGCCTAAACAAGAACCTTCTATGCAGACTCAGGTAAGTAGGTCCACAAATATTTCTACTGGTGAAACATTTCTCTGAAGTTTAGGGAAACCTGGGAGAAATGAAGGTAAATTGAGAGATGCTTTTGCTCTGAATCTAGTTCCTCTTACAGTGGAGGAAGAATTTGAAGAAGAAGAAAAAAAAAAAAAGGTTAACAAAGTTCCACTGTGGCATTTTGCCCTGGAAATTTGTCCTAATTCCTGGGATGAGGACGTGGCCCTTGTTTGTTGTGATGTGTTTCAGATACAGGAGGATCAGGGTAGGACTGGACAGCTTTTGGCTGGAGATGTCCTTCAGTTGTTTTCTACACAAGTCAACAATATTTCCAATATAATGACTGGCGCCTGGTGCTTATGTCCAGGTGTGCTTCCCACCACCTACCACATTTGTTTGTGACATCTGAATGCAAATACTCATTCCTACCTATAGTTTCTATCTTCATAGCCTCAGAAATTAACCAATCAAGCAAAGCACCAATATGTTAATCAGATGTTTGTGGTAAAGAAATGTTCTAATTCACAAAACTTCTTAACGATTTATGGGTTTAGATTTTTTTTTCTTTGAGTCCCTTGTTGAAAAATCTTCCTAAAACACATGCACGCACAGATGACCCTTCACATCTACAGCAGGGGTTGCCTAGTACCCTCAGGTCATTGTTTTTCACGTCCATCCTCACCTCACAGCATTGCAAATGTGACAGGTAGACCAGATGGCCAAAATGTGTGCTTGCCCTAGAACTTACCCTGAATGTTTAAGAATAAATTTTCTTGGGGCATTGTTTCTATTGTCAGTTAAATTGCTTACTGGTAGCAGTCATTTCAGTATGTATATCAAAACATCATGTTGTACACTTTATACAATAAAATTTAAGTTTTATTTATTATTATTATTATTATTTTTTGAGATGGAGTCTCACCCTGTCACCCAGGCTGTAGTGCAGTGGTGCGATCTCGGCTTACTGTAACCTCTGCCTCCCAGGTTCAAGTGATTCTCCTACCTCAGCCTCCCGAGTAGCTAGGACTACAGGCGCACGCCACCACGCCCAGCTAATTTTGTATTTTTAGTAGAGACAGGAGTTTCACTATGTTGGCCAGGCTGGTCTCGAATTCCTAACCTCAGGTGATCCACCCACCTTGGCTTCCCAAAGTGCTGGGATTATAGGTGTGAGCCACCACACCTGGCCAAGTTTTTTTAATTTTAAAAGGTAGAGGCAAGCCATTATTAACTGAGGGTTTAGTTTTAGATCCTGAGGCCCCTGCACAGTGTCTAGCACAAAGTGTTTTTGAATTAAAGTAAAATAGGAAAGAAAATTAAATGTAACCAACATTTACGACACTCTTGGTATGTGGCAATCATGGCTTTTGATTATTTTGCTTAGAATACCATCATATATTCATACTGATTGAGTGAATTTGTGATGTATGTATAAGCAGGTCATATCTATACATACAGTAGCTCCCCCTTATCTGTGGTTTCACTTTCCAAGATTCCACTTACCTTCAGTCAACCTCAGCCCAAAAATATTAGATATTTTGAGAGAGACAGTACATTCATATAACTTTCATTATAGTATATTGTTATGATTGTTCTATATTATTATTAGTTGTTGTTAATCTTTTACCATGTCTAATTTATAAATTAAACTTCATCATAGGTATGCTTGTATAAGAAAAAAACCCAGTATATATAGCGTTGAGTACTATCCAAGGCTTCAGGTATCCAATATCCCCTGTGGGCAAAGGGGGAGTACTGTATATCACAAATATGTGTAGTACATACAGATTATATCTGTAAACCCTTAGAGGAAGGAAACTTTATTCAAGGAAGTTCTTTAGGCCTTGTGTGAGCTCCTGCAAGTTTATATCCACATGGTCAAATTTAATCAGTTCTAGTTAAGCCTTCAGGACATCACTTTTACCTAGAAAGTCCAGGGAAGATTACTTGAGTCTTGAGTTTAGGGCTCACTTGCAGCTGTCTGCAAAACATTATATGATGAAAGTATTAGCCAGGCCAGGCACGGTGGTGCGTGCCTGTAGTTCCAGCTACTTGGGAAGCTGAGACAGGAGGACCACTTGACACTAGGAGGCCGAGACTGCAGTGAGCAATGATCATGCCACTACACTCCAGTCTGGGTGACAGAGTGAGACCCTGTTTCTAAAAAAGAAAAAAAAAAGAGAAAGTATTAGCTGAAGGAAATGTGAAGGCAAAAGTAAAACAGTAGTCTATGCATAAGACGTGGCCAGAACTGTTGGTTTTTGTAACTGAGAGGCAGTTGGAGGCATATCCTCAGAAGAGAATTCCTGGGAAAGTAAAACAGGGTCTGTCCTCTTTCCTGGCCACATGATGGCGGTCTTACCTCACTCACTGACAGCTCAGGTGCTGGGTTGGAGTGATGAGCCAGGCAGCTGCAGGGAAGTGGCTCGTATTCATGGCATTGAGAGCCTGGCAGACTTTAGTGAACTCCTCACTGTTCCCCAATTGATTGTGGGACATTGGGGCAGTGGCTGCTGTAGGAACTTATCCACCAAGGAGTTAGTGTTACCCTTACATTTTGTGGATCTCAAAGATAACATTTCAAAAGCACAACAGGGAGGTTCTGATTTATTCATTTCATCCTAGCTGTGCTTTGGGCAACTATGAGACCAAAATCAAAACACCTGCAACTTTGTCATCTGGGGAGGGTGTCACCCTGTTACCTCAATGGGGCATAACTGGGGACACTTCCCTATGGAGAGCAATGGTTCTTTGACTTGAGGCCAAATTTATATATTGTTGCAAAAACCTGGAAATTGTAGCATCATTTAGATTAATGCCAGTATTACAACATTTTAGAGAGAATGTGCATACAGCTTAGAAGAAATGCAAATTAACCAATTATTGAATCCCCGCCACTATGTATGACATCAATTGCTCTTGAAAGAATTATTTATCGGCCGGCGCGGTGGCTCAAGCCTGTAATCCCAGCACTTTGGGAGGCCGAGACGGGCGGATCACGAGGTCAGGAGATTGAGACCATCCTGACTAACGCGGTGAAACCCTGTCTCTACTAAAAAAACACAAAAAACTAGCTGGGCGAGGTGGCGGGCGCCTGTAGTCCCAGCTACTTGGGAGGCTGAGGCAGGAGAATGGCGTGAACCCGGAGGCGGAGCTTGCAGTGAGCCGAGATCCGGCCACTGCACTCCAGCCTGGGCGACAGAGCGAGACTCCGTCTCAAAAAAAAAAAAAAAAAAAAAAGAATTATTTATCTAAAAAATAAAAATAAGAAATCTTGTGTATCTAGTTAAGGGAAATACTAAAAAAGAACAAGCATTTATTGAACATACACTATGTGCTAGGCACTGGGCTAACTGCTTGATATGCAATTTTTATTTAGTCCTTATAACAGCACTATGGCATAAGTATAGTTATTGATTCAGAGAGGTTAGCTAACTTGTCTAAGATCACACAGTTCGTTATAGAGGAACTCAGATTCATGTTCAGATATATCCGACACTTAGTCCCATGATTATAACCTCCCTACCCAGAGACACCTAAGAAAACATGGGGCACTAATTGAAGGTCCACAATTTGGAATGTAGCCAGCCTGGGACAGTGAGAGTAAGGGGACACATTTTCTGAAAGTGTCATTTCGTATTTATCTCCTCTTTTGTTTCTGCTACTCGTATTTATCTCCTCTCTTGTTTCTGCTACTTGTAGATACCCCGTGGTGCTCCCCCATCAAGGTGAAGTATGGAGATGTATACTGCAGGGCCCCTCAAGGAGGATACTACAAAACAGCCCTGGGAACCAGGTGCGACATTTGCTGCCAGAAGGGCTACGAGCTGCATGGCTCTTCGCTACTGATCTGCCAGTCAAACAAACGATGGTCTGACAAGGTCATCTGCAAACGTAAGTAGGCCAGCTCTGTGTTGGGTCCTCAGGGATGACCAGAGCCAACGTTCTTTTGCTCCAAGATTGAGGATTTTCGCCGAACATGGATGAGGAAAATTCTCTTTATGAGCAGGAGGACAACAGGGGGATTCTAAAGATATAGTGGAAGTGCGATGGCTCCTCTCAGAGAGAATGATATGATCAGCTGTTTGAGAAAAGGGGAGAGAAGACCATTGTTCAGAAAATGAGTTACATTTGTTCAGTTAGTGCTGGATCCTGAAGAGGTGTTGGGGATTTAGAAACAAATAAGACACACGTGGGTCCTGCCATGAAGAGGTTCTAGCAAGGCAGAGGTGTCATCTGAGAGATAAGTACAAGAAGGGTACTAAGTCAGTAGCAGATTAAAGAAGTGCTCTCCCGGCCGGGCGTGATGACTCATGCCTGTAATCCCAGCACTTTGGGAGGCTGAGGCGGGTGGATTGCCTGAGTTCAGGAGTTCGAGACCAGCCTAAGCAACACGGTGAAACCCTGTCTCTACTAAAATACATAAAATTAGCCAGGTGTGGCAGCATGCACCTGTAATCCCAGCTACTCAGGAGGCTGAGAAAGGAGAATTGCTAGAACCCGGGAGGCAGAGGTTGTAGTGAGCCGAGATGGCGCCGCTGCACTCCAACCTGGGTGACAGAGGGAGACTCTGTCTCTAAAAAAAAAAAAAAAGAAGTGTTCTTCCAAGGAGTGGGGCTTAGAGAGGCAGGAAAGAGTCACAGAAGAAGTGATGCTTATTTATGAAAGTGAGTGTGCCTCAGGGGAGAAGATTAGAGGAGTAGCATTTCAGGGGCTGGCTTTTAGCTTCATGACAAGTCATATCTCATTTGGAAAACTGCAAGTGGTACAGCATTGTTGAAGCACACTTTAGATGTCTTTGGTATTCAAAACAGCCACCACTTTTTGAGCACTTATGGTTTGCCAGGAATTTCACATACATTTAATTTTTACAGTAACACTATCAATATGGGTGCCATTATGTTAATTTCATTGTCGGGGAAACTGAGGTTTCAAGGCTGCAGCCATGTCATCAAGACTATGCAGACTCTGCAACTGGGTGACTGTAGTGGACAATCTGCTCTACCCAGATCTCCTCAATGCCTTTTCCTGGTTGTGTGTATCCAGTACTCAGCTTCTGAGTACTTTGCTCTTAAAGACTTGCAGCTTCAACCTCTTCAGAAGACTGCTCCTTCAGACAACTGCTCCCGCTCTCTCTCTCTCTCTCTCTCTCTCTCTCTCTCTCTGTCTCTGCCTCTCTCTCTCACTCTCGTTCTCTTTTCACAAGAGAGAGCATCTCCTGCGAGCAGCCTGTAGCTGCCCAATGACTGACTGGTAAAGAATTATGAAAGCCCAGCCTCCTTGCCTGGGGGCAGGGCAGAATGAGCTGTCATTCACACGCCAGAGCTTCCCTGTGGGATCAGGCTGCTGCTGACTTTGCCTGAGATCTCATGTTGCCTGGCTTTCTCCCCTTCCCTGTTCTGCTTTCCTCACCCGCTCACTAGTCTCCCTGGGAGCACTTTCTTACTAAACCTCAGGCACAGAAATCCGTATCTCAGAATCAGCTTCTGGGAAGCTCAACCTAAGATAGTGGCTTAGCCGGGTTGCCAACCCAAGCCAGTGTGACATGAAACTTTGTCTCTTCTGTGTGACATAAAACCATCTGTTGTTTCTTAAATTCCATTTTATTTATTTATTTATTTATTTATTTAGACAGAGTTTTGTTCTTGTTGCCGAGGCTGGAGTTCTATGGCGCAATCTCGGCACGCCACAACCTCCGCCTCCTGGGTTCAAGCCATCCTCCTGCCTCAGCCTCCTGGGTAGCTGGGATTACAGGCACGCACCACCACGCCTGGCTAATTTTGTACTTTTAGTAGAGATGGGGTTTCTCCATGTTGATCAGGCTGGTCTCGAACTCCCGAACTCAGGTGATCCACCTGCCTCGTCCTCTCAAAGTGCTGGGATTACAGGCATGAGCCACTGCGCCCGACCTTGTCATATTTAAATTAACTTTTCACCCCATGCTTTCAGTTTCTAGACTCTGAAACGAAACTCTATAGACAAAAACTAAGAAATACTGAATATCTGATTTTTCTCATTTTCAGAAAAGTGATGTCCTACCCTTGCCATGCCAGCAAATGGAGGGTTTAAGTGTGTAGATGGTGCCTACTTTAACTCCCGGTGTGAGTATTACTGTTCACCAGGATACACGTTGAAAGGGGAGCAGACCGTTACATGTATGGACAACAAGGCCTGGAGCGGTCGGCCAGCCTCCTGTGTGGGTAAGAAAATGCCACAGCCCTCAAGAGGCACTTGCTTTGGGAGGAGCAGGGGGTGTTCGTATCGTGGATTGTAAAGGGAGCATCACTATTCCTCCTGCAAGGCCTAAGCATGTAACCTTGCTTTCAGTAGCATCCCTGGTTCTCTGGCTCAGCCCTAGATCTAACCTCAGTGTTTATCCTGGAGCTGACTTCATAGCTGATGGCTTCCATCTGACTTTTGTCTTTTTCTTGGTTTGCTACTGAGGCAACTACAGGCTGGCAGAGATGTGGCATACACCTGCCGATTTTAGTTCAGGGGCCTGAGCAAAGTTATTGACACTATAGGGACAGTCCAGTAGAGAACATCTATGTGTCTTTCAGCCCCAGTGTACTTCCTTTGTCATTGACTCTGGTGGTCAGTGAGCACTCAATTTGTTCAGCTGGAAGGGATTTGGATATTGTGCCTCTGGGTTTGTTGGGTAGTGAGTGGTTCCCATGGTGTGGTCCTGGGAGCAGAAGCAGCAGTAGCACCCCCTGGGAACTGTTTAGAAATGCAAATTTTCACCAACCCACCCCTACCACCTGCTGAGTCAGAAACTTTAGGGGTCAGACCCAGCACTTTGTTTTTTAATGAGCATCCCAGGGATTGTGAAGCACTCAAATAAAGAGCCACTGACCTAAGGCACTGCTTCTCAAACTTTACTGTGCAGCGAAGTCCTCTAGGGACCTTGGGAAAAATGCAGATTTAAATTCAGCAGGTCTGGGGTAGGGCCTAGGATTCTGCTAAACGATGCTTTAGGGCAAAGTTTCTGAACCTCAGCATGATGGACATTTGGGGCCAAATAATTCTTCGTTGTGGAGCCCTGTTTTTTTGTTTGCAAGATGTTTAGCAGAATCCTTGGATTTTATTCACTAACTGCCAGTAACACTGCCCACAGGGGGCACCTCACAGATGTTGCTTTCAGTATCCTCTCTGTGATTTGGTATGTGCATAGCTCTTCAAAACAAACCAAAAAGAAAACTGAATCTACTCCCTCATATTGGAAGGGGCAGAGGTGATGGTGGGAGGAGAGAAGCTCTAAAATCTTTCTGCTAAGCAAGCTTTGGCAGAGTACTCTAGGGATCATACTGTTTAAATTTCCAGATTGTGTGCAACAATGGAAAGAAAATGCTGATTGTTCTAAAAAAGCAATAGCATGTCTTAAGCTGGACCAGATGGGCCTGGAACCTTCCCAGAGGGAGAGAGAATGAACCCCGAATTCAGGAGATTCATATTACAGTTTGTCAGGACAAGGTTCAGGCATATTTGGGAGAAGGAGGATTATACATGCAATTAGGTAGGGGTGACAAAAAGGGGTAGAGCGATCCACAAGAGAGCCTAGAGCTCCCAGGAAAACAGAGAGAAATGGGCAAAGCAAGCAGGCAATTCTTTCTTTGATTTTCATGATAAACAAGCTGAGGTTTGTCCCCAGTGAATTTTATTCTAGGGGTATCATTTATTTTTTTGGCTTTAATATATTAAAATAGTTTAATAAATTTGTTTTTGTGTTGGCAGGGGTAGGGGGTCCTTGAGCATAACTCAGAACTTCAACCTATTTTAGGAGCTGACACATAGTGGCTAAGTAGTTACCAGATTTTCACACAGCCTTCAACAGTCTTGGCCAGAGCTATGCTGAGTGGTGAGAAAGTTGTCCCAGTTCTCTTCTAGACTGCGAGGGAAGAGAGAAGACTGGGCTTACTTTTGACTCTGAGGTGGTCAGTTCTGTGGTCTGGCTAATTTGAAGGTGCCACAGGTTAAAATTAATTTTCTTACACAGACCATACTCTGGCAATGGGCTGAAATTCATGGTTATTTCAGAAACAGATATAGATAAAAATAAGTCTATGTAGGAGGAAAAAAAATACTGCAAATTGCAGGAGGGTAAACTCTTTGAAGAGCTACAACATCCATTGATCTGGAAGAAAATAAACCTTAGAATGTAACCACTATTGTTTTGGGAGGATATTTTTCTTTCTTTCCATTTTTAGTTATTTTTGGTTATGTTGGCATTTAGATAGAACAATGGATAGTTGGAATCACAAGTCCTCATATAGAGAATGGATAGTTGGAATCACAAGTCCTCATATAGAGAATGGATAGTTGGAATCACAAGCCCTCATATAGAGACCATATTTTGAGTAGACACATGATCTTTCCTTTAGACCAACACTTCTTCCTAGGCCAAAACAGGAAGAAAACAAATTAAAGATACTTTAAAAACCATGGACAATGAAAAACCATCAAAGGTCTTTTGACATGCAGAGAGTATCCATTTAAAATTGCTGTAACAAAAGACAATGTACAAACTTTCCTTTTTGCCCCGCTGAACAGATTGTAATAAAGTGACCAGACAACACATTTAAGTTCTAATTATCAAGGAAAACATATTTTTAAATAAATATATATGCTCCCTTATTTTTTTGTTTCCTACAGAGTAGAATAGGTGGAGATTTATTAACACAAATGAAATTCTGGAATAAAAAATTTCGGAGATGTAATATATGGAAATTGATGGCATACATTTCTCGTGTCCCAGCTGTCTCACAGCTGGTTTATCCAATGACCCATAGGAATGGGATCATTGCATTATTGCTGGGCTGCATTGCGTTGTTCAGTTGATGCAAACATCAGTAGGGCTAAGAATAAATGTATCCATGTATTGTTGCAAATGATGTTAAATTGTGCTAAATTCCTCCTGGGTTGACAAGTACACATTCTTTTGCAAACTTTCAGAGGCTAGTTTCAGTGTCAAAGCAACTTGTTGATTGAGATACTGATTCACTTTTTCCCTTACATGATTTGTTAGTACAAACAGAACAGGTCAACTTTTAGTGGCCCTCTCTAATATAAATGTATCACCCATGAATTTTTATTTGGGCTTCTTTCTTGTGAAGATGTTGACTTTTAGAGATGAGGTCTCATTATGTCGCCCAGGCTAGCCTCTTGCTATGTGGTCCAGGCTGGTCTTGAACTCCCGGGCTCAAGTGATCCTCCCACATTGGCCTCCTGAGTAGCTGGAGCTACAGGCATGAGCCACCACACCCGGCTATGATCATGACTTTTAAATGTGGATTTCATTGCCTCCCTTCTTGCCTCTTTTGTCTGTTTTGGAAAGTTCTCTGGATTTTTGTATGGTGCCAAACAGAGGAAACCACTTCCCAGAGCCATCCACAGAGATTACACTCTGGCTGGGGGAAGCAAACAACTGGGTGACTTTTCAATGGCCAGATTTGTTCTGCATTTGGCAGTCACTCGCTTCCTATGCCCCCTTGAAAAGAACTCTTTCTTTCTCTGTCACCAAACTCAAACTATTTTATATTTGCATCAGTGATCTGTTGCTGCACAACAGACCACCCAAAACTTAGTGGTTCCAAACAACTATGTTATTGCTCAAAGAGTCTGTAGGTTGGAAAGTTGGGCAGAGCTTTGTGGGGACAGCTTATCTCTGCTGTGTGTGGTAATGGCTGAGGTGACCAAGTAGAGCTGGAGGATTCAAGATGGCTTCACTCACAGGTCTGGTACCTCAGTTGGGAAAAGTTGTACTGACTGGGGTCTGGCTGACTCTCTCTCTCTCTCTCTCATTTATAATTTCTCATCCCGACTACATGGCCTCTCCAGTCAATTGGACTTCTTTAGATGGCAGCCGACTTTTAACATAGTGAAAGCAGGAGGCACCAGATTCTTGGAGGGCCTGGGTCTGGAACTGGCACAGGGTCGCTTCCCTTGCATGTTATTGTTATCTGTTGGCCAAGACATTGTCCTTTTGAACCTCTTCCTTCTTTCCACTACCTACCTGGTTAGATGTGTCAAGGATTTCCAAGTAAATAGTTCAGCTTCAGCTGGGCGCTGGTGGCTCACACCTGTCATCCTAGCACTTTGGGAGGCTAAGGCAGGCAGATTGCTTGAGCCCAGGAGTTCTAGACCAGCCTGGGCAACATGGCAAAACCCTGTCTCTACAAAAATAAATAAATAAATAAATAAATAAATAAAAATAAAAAAAATAGCCAGGCATGGTGGTGCACGCCTGTAATCCCAGCTACTTGGGAGGCTGAAACGGGAGGATCACATGAGTCTGGGAGGTCAAGGCTGCAGTGAGTTGATATTGTACCACTGCACTCCAGCCTGGGTGACAGAGTGAGACCCTGTCTCAAAAAAAAAAGTCCAGCTTCTTAGATAAATAGTAGTTGATACAATGCAATATATTTGTTTCTCATATTTTATATGCTCAGAGAAAACTAGAACACAGAGAAGGGAGACAGTTTGTCAGATATCTCCAATGAATAAGGCAGAGAGCAGAGGCCAGAATTTTCACTGAAGGTTTCAAGATTTTTATAAATTGCAGGCATCTTAATTCAACAGGGAATAGTAATTATGTTTCTATAGTAACTTTGTTCCTTTCATTCATGGAAATGTATAACTTATAAAACGCTATTGGGGCCAAATCTGGGTAATAACAGACTTAGGTCTCTGGGGCATCAGCTGAAGGGCAGACCAACTGGTCTCACCAGCTGAGAGAGAAGGCAGCTGCTTGAGAATATGTCAGGATCAAGTCCTGTGGAGACTCTTCAAGGGTTCATGCGGAAGCTATGACAGGCCATCACAAAACAGTATGTGTGCAAAGGTTGGCGGAAAACACTAGGTCAGCAGCAAGCAGACACACAAAAGGGTTTGGTTTATTAAAATAACTTCAAAATATGTAATGCCATTTAAAAATCCCAGACCACAAAGAAATTCCAAAAGAAAGGAAAGGCTTCTTCCCAATCTATAAATGGGGACGCTAATAACACTGCTTAGTCTAATGGATGGTTGTGCAAATTCAGTAAACTAATATAGGGAGGATACTTAGCATGGGGTGGGCATGTAGGAAGGATTCCTCCAACATTAGTTATTATTTGTAATGATTTATTTCTTCTTGTTTCTTCTTTGGAAGAACACTGTTTCTGAAAAGCTTGGCCAGTTCAGCTGATCATGATTAGCTAGAGATAAGCTGGCTTTGGGAAACTCTGAGATTCTTCACCCAGATAACCTATCTTGGAGCCTGTGTGCTTACACTGTTAGTACATCTAGATACAGAAAACAAACAACAATGTATCACCCAGACATTTAGTTTACCTGACAGAGACTAAGTTGCTTTTCACTCTGACCATGCTGCTCCAAGAAAATACGGTAACACAATGCAGTTTTACAGTGAAGTCTATAGGCTAATAAATATACATTCTATAATGTAATTGCCAGCTCTATTTGACCAGCAGGGGGCAGTCATTATATACTTGTCTTTCTGTGAAATGTTCATCTGAATTATGAAAGTTTGTCTTCTCTCACCTGTTATAGTAAAAAATTAAATTATTTTTCAAAAAAACTGAGCAACTGAGAATAGACATCTTGAATGCACTTGAGGCAGCTTCCATTTCATCATAGTATTTGTATACTTTATTTTATCAATTCTGAGAAGCATATTTTTTCTACCTTTTAATATCCCCGAAATACAGATGCATTTCACAATTAGCAGTGACTTAGATTCAACAAAATATGGTGGTTATTCAATTCAGGATTGGTGCATTAAGGCTGTTAAGTTCACACCCCACTGAAGCATGACATAGAATGAAAATGAATTTGGATAGCTGAAGGCAAAATTGTTTAATAAGTTATTCATAACTTCTTACCCTAAATCAAATGAGAAATTATTAGACAAGACACAGGAGAAAGTATATAAAGAATTTTACTTGGTGCATTTAGTCTCTCAAAGACATCTGTCATTCAGAATCAAAAGGACATTTAACTTTCATTAAGGCCGTAATAGCACTTAATACTTATCAGTTGATATGTAAAGCAACGTGAAGCTGAATGTCCTGAATTTGCTATGCCCTCTTTAAATACATTCTCTACCTGTTCAGAAACATTAAGTAGAATTTGCAGCAATTTGAACTTCCTCTTGTGATTTCACTTGAGCTATATAAGATGAAATACAACCCAGTGTAGAGTTGACATCTTATTTACTTTGAGCCCTCATTAACCACCCATCCTTGTTATCACTATCAAGGCAGAGCTCCTATGACCACGTAGAGAAACTACTTGAAGAAATTTGGGAGGCTTTTGGAGGTCCAGAGCCACAGTAAAACTGTGTCCCAGAACACAAAACCATAAATGTAGTTCAGTAGCAGTTCAAGGGGAGAAAGGACCCAGACAGACCATTGCCTATTTTAAGATATTAAGCAATATGTTGATAATAGATAGCAGAAAGAGAGAGAGAACTTGTTCTGTTGGCAAGTGCTCTGACTTAGATTATAATTCACAGTGCCATTATCTACATGTGTGATCTTAAATAAATCACTGAATTTCTTTGAGCCTCAGTTTGCACATCTGTAAAATGAGAAAGTTGGGCGGCTCCTCTATACCTCCATAGCATTCACTTTTACCTTGCCTGGGGCATTGTCATTTTCTACCTCATGTTATATTTCATGTGGGGTAATGTAATCCCCCCAGTACATGGCAAATTCCCTGAAATGTCAGAAGCACATGATTCTTTTGCCTTTGTGCACCCCCAACCCCAGCAGTTGGAATGAAACCTTGGATAAGATTGGTACTCATGAAAAATTTGTTGCCTTGAATTGAATCTGACTAGATGATAGCTAGAGTGCCTTTCTCTAATATTCCATGATGCTGTCCTCAAAGCAGGAAGTACTCACTAAAACCAAATGACTTCTAGTTTCAGCTGAGTAACTGCCATGTGGCCATCAGTAGGCAGAGTTTGGAAGCATGGGGAGGAAAGGCTGTAACTAATGAATTACCCACAGGACACCTCACAAGGCCAGTTGATTGCAGGTTTAGCCCTGCACATGTGAGTATTTAAACAATCTTCAAAACTTAGCAGGAGAGTAAAAGCATTATGAAGGGAGAAAAGGGGAATATATAGGATGAACAAACTCTTTGAAAATGGAGAATACCCAGAGGCTTTGGTACTTTAAACTTTGGGTGTTGAACCCCAGTTTGACTAGATATTTCTTGATGATGATGAGAATATTTTGGTTATATTTTCAGATATGGAACCTCCTAGAATCAAGTGCCCAAGTGTGAAAGAACGCATTGCAGAACCCAACAAACTGACAGTCTGGGTATCCTGGGAGACACCCGAAGGAAGGGACATAGCAGATGGCATTCTTACTGAGTAAGTGAAAGTTGGCAGATAAAATGATGTTGTCTCTTTTATGTGAGATGTTTGCTACCCAGAGTAGGGGAGTGTATATATGCTGGTCTGTTTATGCTTTCAGATGTGGTCCTCATGGGCACTACCTAATATACTATATATGTCACCTATGTATTTGTTGATTACCTGTCTTTATTATAATATGTTCACTGCTATGTCCTTAATGCCCAGAACTGTGTCTAGCACGTAGTTAGCACTCAGTAAATCCTTACTGAAGGAAAAAAGAGAAATAAGGGGTGGTGAATGATGTGATTATTATGCATTGCATGCCTGTATCAGAACATCTTGGCTGGGTGTGGTGGCTCACGCCTGTAATCCCAGCACTGTGTGAGGATGAGGCAGGTGGATCACCTGAGGTCAGGAGTTTGAGACCAGCCTGGCCAACATGGTGAAACCGTGTCTCTACTAAAAATACAAAAATTAGGCAGGTGTGGTGGCACACACCTGTAATCCCAGCTACTCGGGAGGCTGAGGCAGGAGAATCGCTTGAACCCGTGAAGCTGAGGTTACAGTGAGTCAAGATTGTGCCACCGTGCTCCAGCCTGGGTGACAGAGTGAGATGCCATCTCAAAAAAATTTAAAAAAATCTCATGTACCCCATAAATATATACCTACTACATACTCACAAAAATTAAAAATAAAATAAATTTAAAAGAAGCGGCGGTGAGAAGGGAAGGAGGAGCAGAAGGGGAAAGAGGAAGCCAGTTGGTTAATTTAGGGATAGAGTAACCCGCATTGCCTGCCCAGCCAGACCCTACTCATGCCCCCAGGCCATTACCTGCACTGGGAAGCCTTCTGTGTCTCCCAGGTGGTGCCAGAGGCTGTCGCTCTTGTGCTCTGTGAGTACAGTTTAGTGCAGAACTTTTTCACCCCTTGTTTTTTGGCTGTATTTATCTCTTTTAAAGCTTTTTAATTTATTTTTAAAACTCCTGACCATATCAGACACTTACAGATGCTTATTTTAAAAAAGGGAAGGTATCGGTCGAGCGCAGTGGCTCACGCCTGTAATCCCAACACTTTGGGAGGCCAAGGCAGGCGAATCACGAGGTCAGGAGACCGAGACCGTCCTGGCTAACACGGTGAAACCCCGTCTCTACTAAAAATACAAAAAATTAGCTGGGCGTGGTGGCGGGTGCCTGTAGTCCCAGCTACTCGGGAGGCTGAGGCAGGAGAATGGCATGAACCCGGGAGGCAGAGGTTGCAGTGAGCCGAGATCGTGCCACTGCACTGCACTCCAGCCTGGGCGACACTGCGTGACTCCTTCTCAAAAAAAAAAAAAAGGGATGGTATCTTCTGCTTTCTTCCCCACCTCTACCCCATTCTCCTGGACCAATTTCATTCATAGTTTGACATATATCTGAGTTGCTTTTTGTTGGTATGTTTGTTTTACCAACCACAATGAGAAGCACTGTTAAGAAGCTTTTAAAAATGGGTGGATCCCTTTGTGAGGGTTAGCTATGTGTTGTTCTAATCTAGCATTTGGGCCTGTATCCCTGCAACTGTTTGGTTGGCCTTCATATTCCCTGGAGACCACTACTTCACATTAGCATGTTCATATCTGTGCCTTAAAGTTTACGGGCATATTAGAGCTTCCCACTGAGTTTTCATCTGTCGATAAAAGGATACCTCTAATTTATCTCCTGGTGATCCATAAAGCAAGAAAAGACTTTCTAGAATCCTATCAACCCAGGCTGTGCATGACAAAACATTTTTACACGATGATTAGGCAATAACAGTACATTTTCTAGTGAGAGGAGGCAGGACATTTTGTTCCTACATTCCAATAATCTTCCCCCAGTGCCTCATCTAGCTTAAGTAATACTACTAGTTATGCTTTCCCATTGTAACTTCTCAAAGATAAAGTTTGACCATTAAAAAAGTATTTGCTATCACATACACATCCCACGAATCCCTTTGGAGAAAATGTAGGCAATCAGAATTGAAAAGTAAGTTGACATAATCAGGGATTGGATTTTATTTACCTTTGACCCTTCAGGTCTAGCACAATGCCTGGCCCAGCCCCTACCACATAGTAGGTTTTTAGATTTTTGCAACTCTGACTGCTGTTGAAATGCTGTGTAATAAACACAAAACATCAAGCCATCAGATGACTCTGTTTGTCTACAAGCTTTGTGAGAATATTCACCTTGTTGTTTTTGTGGGTAACTTGTGTAATATGGTTAGGAGTGTTACATTTTATTTGATTTTTTAAATTTTTTGAGACAGAGTCTCACTCACTCTGTCGCCCAGGCTGGAGTGCAGTGGCAAGATCTTGGCTGACAGCAACGTCCACCCCCCAGGTTCAAGCGATTCTCCTGCCTCAGCCTCCTGAGTAGCTGGGATTACAGGTGTGTACCACCACACCCTGCCAATTTTTGTATTTTTAGTAGAGACGGGTTTTTGCCATGTTGGCCAGGCTGGTCTTGCACACCTGACCTCAGGTGATCTGCGCGCCTCGGCCTCCCAAAGTGCTGGGATTACATTTATGAGCCACCGCACCTGGCACGATTGTTACATTTTAAAACAGCATCTCAGTACTCTCCTGTCCCTTTGTTCAAAGCAGCTGTCTGCTTCCAGGGTTCTACAGCCCAGAGGCCAGAAAGGTTTAGAGCAGGATGTGATGGGAATGCACTCCAACAGGATGAGGAGTTCAGAGAAGGCTGTCTTGTTCCCTTTACAGCTCTCACTTGGGCTCCTTGCTGCCCTGGCATTTCTCCTATGACCCCTTCCGCCATTTCCTATCCAAGCTACTGCTCTATAGCTCCCTTGTGAGGGAGAAGGTTCTAGTGTCAAGCTCTGAGATAAGTGCTTCTTGTGAGTTCCCTTATTTACTCCTTCTGTTATTTGCATGCCACAGGCGAAACAAAGTCTCAGAGAGGCTACATCTACTTATATTTGAAGTATCACTCCTCTCAGGTTTATCTGAATTTAAGTTGTGCTTTCTAAAGACCTTAAAGCATCTAAAGCCAACAGCAGCATGTCTCAAAATAGTGGGATTTCTGACATTTTCCCACGACCCCTCTCTCATACCTGGTAAACAGCCACCTCACCCACCTACATGTAAGGCTTTCCTCAGTGGTGACAATGATAATACCACATGTTCATTATTAGCACATATTCTCATCATTCCCTGAACTGTAGGGAGAGGGGGAATTTATATGTATATTGAAAAACAGAACATGGATTTTGATCATGCTATACTGATTGGTGTTCTCATTAGGCAGCCAAGAAAAAAGATGAAGTCACCCTAGCTGTGTGACCCTGGGCAAGTTCTTTAGCCTTTTTATGCCTCAGTTTCCTCATCTGTGAAATAGAGATAATACTACCTACCTAATAGGGTTGTTGGATTAAATGAGGAGGATTAAATAAATATATGCAAAATGCCTAGAACCATGCCTAACATGTAAGATTTATGTAAGTGCAAAGAACACTTTTAGTCATTATTATTGTTATCAGGATAACCAAGGAATCACAGAGAACTTGCCTTTAGGTCTCCACAGTCCCAGATAGAAAGAACAGAGAAAGTTCTAGTACACCCTGCAGGCCCAAATTGCCAGTGACTGCTTGGACTATATTCTCTAATGATTTTCCTCACAGAAAATGCCCTTGTCTTCCCAACAGTGAGGCAATTCAGGTCCCACCTGGACCAAGAGTGAGATTGAAGGAAGAGACTTGGGCCCTATATTTTTCATGCTCCCTCCTCCCTCTACCCACTTCCCCACCATTCTACCTACAGCTGGAAAAAAGCCTAAGCTTCCCAGTAGGTTGGGTCTTCCATTTTCTGGGCACAAACTGCTCTTCTAAAACAGGCTAAAGCTTAGGAGATTCTATTCTTTGAGAAATTTTTGTTCTACTTAAACTAGTCTAATTGTTGCCCCTCAGTCTCTCCATGTCCTGTAAAGAGTGGGGGGTCGTCACTTGCTTGTCAGATCCATAATGTCATCTTTCCTGTTTCTGATTTTTTTTTTTTCTCTCTAAGTGTCATTCTGAAAGGCCTCCCGCCAGGCTCCAACTTTCCAGAAGGAGACCACAAGATCCAGTACACAGTCTATGACAGAGCTGAGAATAAGGGCACTTGCAAATTTCGAGTTAAAGTAAGAGGTAAGAATACTGCTTATTGTCCCCCCACCCTCCCTTTAGAAGAGCAAAGGGAAGCAGGTCCTCAAGCCAGAACTCTCTCAAAAGTGCCTACTGTGGTGGGAGACTTGCCAGCTTTAGATTAGCCTCTAATGAGACTTGGAGAAGTGCCCTATCTTAATGCCTGAATTTCATGATACACATATGGATGGGCGTCAGTGTTGCCAGATTAGTTAAGGAGTTCCCAAGACTAGTCTTACAGGAGCCCATAGCTGACTGTCCCGGAAGAATATTATTCAATAATTTTTCCATCCCTGAGCTTAGGTGACCAGCTGAAGCCTGTGAGTCCATCTACAACTAGGGTGAATAGGAGCCCCCTAATTTGGGCCACCAGGAGAACATGTTCTTACTGTTCTGGAACCATTGGTATGAAAGAAAATGTTTTTAAGGATTATTTTATGCCTGATGGTTTGGGCAACTAATTGCTAACCATCTTTACTCCTTACTCTTCTGGACTTCACTTCCTCATCTACAACACTAGGAGCTAAACCAGTTGATATCAGTGGTCTCATTGGTATGGATGGGTGACCATTGCAAGGCTCACCCACTGACCAAATAGTCATCCCTCCTCCCTCACTCATTTCACAGGCTGATGTAGAAGCCTGATTGCAAAGCTGATGCCCCTGCATCCTCACCTTTTCTGCTTACTCTGTGGATGGGAGCTCAGCACTGAGACCCCTCTGGACTTGTGTCCCTACAGTCAAACGCTGTGGCAAACTCAATGCCCCAGAGAATGGTTACATGAAGTGCTCCAGCGATGGGGATAATTATGGAGCCACCTGTGAGTTCTCCTGCATTGGCGGCTATGAGCTCCAGGGTAGCCCTGCCCGAGTATGTCAATCCAACCTGGCTTGGTCTGGCACGGAGCCCACCTGTGCAAGTATGTACGCAGCCCCTCCAGCCTGCAGCAGAACCTGTAAACCCCTTGGTTCTTGATTCCAGTGCAAGAGAGGTTTCCCTTCATAGACTTTGAGAAGTTCCTGGCCATCCCTCTTTATCTGAGTGGATGAACATAGTCCCTAGATCCCTGCCGCAGCTCATCTCATCTGTTATCCGTCTTGCTTCCGCCTATCCTCTAATTTCCCTTTCATGTCCTCTAAGGAAGAAGCTCAAGGTAGGAACCTAGGGCCAGCCTTTAGTGACATTATGAATCAGCAAAATTTGCTGTAGTTTCCTTTGTTCTAGAAATGTAAGGATCTTGTTTATAAAGCCAGTACACTGTCATGTAGAGACAATATCATACCTGCTTTGCATCACTGGCATGAAAGTCACATACACTTTGGGCATTTGGAATCTTTCCTCCTATGTAAAATGAAGAAAATAATACCTCATCTACCTCTTGAGTTGTTGTAAGGATTAAATTAGGTCATCTGTGGAACAGTGGAATAGAGCAGTGCCTGGTACAGGTAAAGCCTTATGCCAGCTCTTATTCCTGATGAACAAAAATTGGGCTGGGTAATGAGTCTGAAACTTGGGTTAACCAGAAAATTATGGACGTATCTCTTGTTTATAGACTTCTCTTTTTCTCATTTCCTGGTACCCTTTCATCTTTATCCCTTTCTTTTAATTGAAGCCCCCATTTAGAGTTAAGTGACAGAGAGACATATATACCATCAGCTAAATGCCTGAGATTCTTCAATTTCATGTGTTAAAGTAGAAAGAACACACCTATTATAGACTCCCTACCTAAGGACTTCATGCCCACCATGTTGGCATTAAGGCCTGGGGTGTGGTGTCTAACAGGCTGCTAGACCTATGTGGTCCAACATGGTAGCCACTAGCTATATGTGGCTACTAAGCACTTGAAATGAGGCTATTCTGAATTGAGATATGCTATAAGTGTAAAACATATACCAATTTCAAAATCTTAGTGTGAAAAAGAATATAAAGTATCTTAATTTTTTATATTGATTACATGTTGAAATGAAATATTTGGGATATATTGGGTTAAATAAAACATAAAATCATTTCTACCTATCTCTTTATACTTTTTGTTTGTTTGTTTGAGCTGGAGTCTTACTCTGTTGCCCAGGCTAGAGTGCAGTGGCGTGATCTTGGCTCACTGCAACCTCCGCCTCCTGGGTTCAAGTGATTCTCCTGCCCCAGCCTCCTGAGTAGCTGCGACTACAGGTGCGTGCCACCACGCCTGGCTAATTTTTTGTATTTTTAGTAAAGGTGGGGTTTCACTGTGTTAGCCAGGATGTTCTCGTCTCCTGACCTCATGATCTGCCCGCCTCGGCCTCCCAAAGTGCTGAGATTACGGGTGTGAGCCACTACGCCCAGTCTCTTTACACTTTTTTAGTGAGGCAACTAGAAAATTTAAGATTAAACATAGTGGCTTACATTGTATTTCTCTAGACAAGAGCTATCCTAGACTCTGAGCCCCTGGGGCAGGGAAGAGGGCAGGAAAGAGGGCAGGAACTGTGTATCACTCAGTGTGACATGCTAGTACCTAGCGTAGAGCTTGGCACATGGCAGGCTCTCAGTATATAATGGCTGAATGAATTAATGTGTGAATGAACAAATACTTCAATGCAAACCTAAAATGTGAAATATGAAAACCAAGATTATAAATCATACATGGCATCTACTAGTTTTTCTCATATTATTTCTTCTTTGGAGCTAAGCCTTTTGTTTGCCTATCTATATAACATCCTTCATTGACCTTGAACAGCTGGAATTAGTTGTCATGTATTTGCTTAAAGGGAAGGCCTATTATAAAACTGCCTTGTCCCATGTCCTCTATGCCTGTGTTGCTTGCTCTGTGGCCTTTGTGTCCCACATTGCTTTGTCCCTTCTGCACCAAGGAGGCAGACTTCAGAGATTCTGAGCCATTCCAAAGCCAGCCTGGCCATTGCCCATTCTCTTACCCTTCTGCCTCTCTGCACCCCTTTCCCTAGCAGATACTATGGTGCTTGGCCCATATGCCTTTCACATTCGCATCTATGTTCAAAAGGCTACTTACTGCAATTAACCGGTTCTCTCTGTCTGAGAGCGTTTTTCCCCCGGCTATGAAAGCACTGTCAGCCCATGCACAGAGCCAGCCTGAAGTGATGGAGAGCTAGTGCCCCAGAAGCAGCCCTCAACAATGATGGAGCAATTGTATAAATACTCCAGTTCCCTCCAGTGGGTTAATTCTGGAGGTATGTTGTATATCATCTCCTAGAGTTCCCCAGTGGGAGTGAGTTCCAAATGCCCACAGCAACAACTTGCTTGATAACCAACTGGTATTGTTTTCTTTCCCTCACTGTCTCACTTCCTGACATAGGCAGAATAATGGTCCACCAAAGATGTCCACATCCTAATCCCCAGAACCTGAGAATATGTTACCTTACATGAAAAAAGGGACTTTACAGATGTAATTAAGTTAAGGATTTTGAGATGGGAAGAGTATCTTGGAATACCCAGTGGGCCCAATATAATCACAAGCCTTCTTATATAAAGGAGGCAGAACTGTGTCAGAGTCATAGAAAGACATGATGGAAGGAGAGATCAGAGAGAAGAGAGATTTGAAGATACTACACTGCTATCTTTGAAGATGGAGGAAGGGACTACTAGCCAAGGAATGAAGGTGGCCTCTCGATGCTGAAAAAGACAAGAAATGAGATTCTCCCCTAGAACCTCCACGGGAACATAGCCCTGCCAACACCTTGATTTTAGCTCCATGAGGCCAGGATCTTTTCGATCCTGACCTGCAGTATCTAAAATAATAAGTTTGTATTATGTTAAGTCACTAGGTTTATGGTGATTTGTTACAGCAGCAAGAGGAAATGAATATACTTCCTCACTCCTCCACAAGTGCTTCTTGGGACCGCCTCCCAAATAAACTACTTACACTTGAATCCTTATCTCAGGGTTTAATTCTTACACAAATGGTCCTGTGTGTCATCACAGGCTCTGTTGAGCCAGAACAAGCAGAAGGTTTCTGACCCATGTGGCCATTTCTGATTACAGCCATGAACGTCAATGTGGGCAGCAGAACGGCAGCTGCACTTCTGGATCAGTTTTATGAGAAAAGGAGACTCCTCATTGTGTCCACACCCACAACCCGAAACCTCCTTTACCGGCTCCAGCTAGGAATGCTGCAGGTGAGTCCTTGAGGCAGGGCCGAGGTGGCAGGGAGACCTTTAACAGGAAGGGCCCAGCCATTTCACTAAAAGCAAAGGCCAGATTCAGTGCCTAATCCACTTACAGTGAGTTTCAGGAACTGGCACTTTAGAGCTACCACCATTCATTTCTGGTTCTGGGCCATAACCTGATTAGCATTGACTCCTTAGAGTTAACCCAATCATTTTCCAACTAATGAGGTTGCCTGTCTTCACCAATAAGTCTAATTGACATACTGTCCAGGCCTAGCCACAGAACAATTGTCTTTGCTGAACCTGTCCAGGATATGCCTGGCTGAAAGCAATCAATTAGCTGCCTGCCCAAAAGGCTGGCCCAAGAGACGAAAGGAATCCAGGAGCCCTCGGTCCCCACATTTTTCCCAGGGAATTTCTTTGACTCTCAGAGGGTGACAGCCATTTTTTTTAGCACAGTGGTTCTCAACGTGTGATGCATGGACTGGACCAGCAGCATCAGCATCACCTGGGAGCTTGATAGACATGCCAATTCTCAGGGCCCCTCCCAGACCTACTGTGTCAGAATCTACACTTTTAACAAAATCTCCAGGTGATTCCTAAGCACTCTAAAGTTTGACGGGCACTTTTCTGGGAAATATGTCCTTCTCAACTATGTAAATTTTGTAGCTACTAAATGAGCAACCAGCATCTTGGGTGTGTGGGGAAGGATGACTAGAAACTGTAAGGATCAAACTAGAAGTTGCTTGCTTTTGTCCTGAAGCTGGTTTGCAAAAGAGTGGCTAACTTCACTGAATACTAAAGAGGCAGGATGTATGCTGTGCCATGGATACAGTGCTGCACATTTTTTTTGAGAATATTTTATTCATTTGTTACAGTGGATAGAACTAAGTGCTTAAAACAGTCTTGATTTAATCAAGGGCTACAATTTACTTCTCATGTCAGCATTAATAAAATGTTTAATAATAAGTCTCTTTTCACTCTTCCCACGTACTTGAAGAATTGCCTATGAACTCTGAAGAGCCATATAAAATTTTTTTGAGCTCCCTTAATAGTAACCAAATTCATTGCATCTTTACCCCCGTTCCCCACCAGCTTACCTCCCCTTGTATCTCCTTGTCCAAGCCAGGGGCCTGCTCTTCAGAAAAGACAAGCTTATACTTCTCTCTTTTGTGGGAAATTGGCATTGCAGGCTATATTCCACGATCATGCATTTCCTCATCTGTTCTTATTCCATAGGAAAATGAATTAAGTCAAACAACTTGCTTTTCCTCTGTGTCAGCAAACTATAGTGACCCATGGCTAGTTTCGGTATATTAACTTTTATTGGACACAGTCACACTAATTCATTTGTGCATGATCTATAACTGCTTTTGCACTACAATGATGGAGTGAAGTGATTAGGACAGAGGCCATCCAACCTTGCCAAGCCTGAAATACTCTCTGGCCCTTTACAGAGAAAGATTGCCGTCATTGCTCTAGTCTGTCCCATCCCTTCAGACACTTGCTAACTTAACAACTGGTTGGATAAGATGTTTAATATCGAGATGTTTTGGTGTGACCTCCTCTTCCAAATATACTTACGTTTGCATTTTAACCAGAGCCTTCAAAGAAAGGTTTGGTTGACATAGGCATTTCAGTGAGAGTAATACAAAAGCCTATTTCTAACTTTTTAAACTTCTCAACCAGTTCTGTAACTTCATGTAGGGACGTTTCAGTGGAATTTTGGTAAAACATATTTGATGTTTTCATCTTTCAAGACTTCAAAATTTCTTTTCCCATTTAGCCAAATTCATCGTATTTGTCTTACATTACTTTTTCTTAATTTTTTATTTTTATTGCCATTGCCATTCCTGATGAGCCCTGCTGACATGTGGTTGACTGGACCACATTCCCAAGGTTCTTGGCAAGAGCCAGCTTAGAGGCTTGGAACCTTTTATCGTCTTTTCCCCTGGGATTGGGTGTGGAGGGCATAGGGCAGGGGAGTGTGGAGAGTGGAAACAGAGCAGAGAAGTGGACTCTGGAAATAGAGTAGTCTTCTGTCCTTGCAAAGAAAAAGTTAGAATCCTCTGGGGTGGTCTTGGACACTTTTTAGGAAATTTGACTCACTCAAGGTCTCACCCTGTCTGGAAATACATAGACTGCCCTTTTGCTTAGGTTTTCAAAATCCCACTGTCAAGCCATATTGGAACGATTCCTCTAGGAAAGGTATTTAGGTTTTATAGCCACGAGCTTAACCCCAATTTCTCATCTGTTTTCAGTACAGTTCAGAGTGAGCAAATAAAGTTCCAGAGACAGGCCAGTGCTACTTCTGTCGGTTTCTAGTTTGATAAGGATGTCCTTTTTCACCATGCTCATACTTCCCCTGTTGGGTTTTCTTTTTCCCAGCAAGCACAGTGTGGCCTTGATCTTCGACACATCACCGTGGTGGAGCTGGTGGGTGTGTTCCCGACTCTCATTGGCAGGATAGGTGCAAAGATTATGCCTCCAGCCCTAGCGCTGCAGCTCAGGTAGGGGAAATTTCTTTTCTTAAATCTTATCCTCTATGAATGCACTTTTAACTGATTAGGTTCCCTGGTTTCTTTCTATTCAGCATGGAGTTCAGGCAACCTTCAATGTTTAATTGCTTTTATTCTGGGAGTGTTATAACCATGCTAATCAGTATGTTGCTGTTTGTTCAAATAAATTGTGCAATGGGTAATTACCAGTGTTTTCTTTCTTACCCCCTCCAACCAACCGTTTTTGCTTCGCGCACATGTGTGTGTGTGTGAGTGTGTGTGTGTGTGTGCGTGTGGTTGGTTGGTGGAGGAAGGATGGCTAGGAGAGGAGGACCTGAAAAAAAGACTTAAGCAATCCTTGGTCTTATTAGAAAAGTACGCATCCAATTAGTCTTTCCAGGCTTGGTCTCTTTTTTCTCCATTCTTACAGAACACTTGTTCATACCTCTGTTTTAACAATTATATTTTACTTTCATAACCCTTACGAAGTTGGAACCGTGGATTTTAGTCTCTGAATAATGATGTATTAAAGAAGCAGAATTCAACAACCAAAAGATAGTTTCAGAATAACCCAAATTTCTGCTTGCATCTCTTGACCACTGTAAAATGGATAATTAGACTAAAGCAAAACTCCTTAAAATCTTCCTTTCTCACCCAGCCTTTTCAAAACCCATTCAGAAAATTCTGCAACAAGTTTTAAAAAATCATTGACACAGGATATGAGCAAGTAGTACTAAATAAGCAACAGCTTCAAAAAACCTACTTTGAGAATATTCACCATAAATATTTAGATATCAACACAACTCTCTGTCTTAA